AATGCCTTGGCCTGGTAGGGGTGGCCTCGGCTGGACCCCACCCCTGCCATTCTGCAGATACGACTGCACTTCCTCTGAGCCTTTGTGTAGACTGTTCCTCTACCCAGAACACCTTGTCCAACCAATCAGAGCTCTGAGAATCCAACCTGTTTCGTGACTTCAGTTCTGGGGCTGCCCTTGTCTGGGACACCCTCTGGTGGACCTGATGAGCTGCCAAGTTGCCCCTGCCCCTCTTCGGCCCCCTGTAAACCTGTGCCTGCTCCCTCATGTCCAGCCCTTGACCAGGAAACTGACCTCTCACCCACTGACACGTGGCTGGCCCAGGCCTGGCATGGCACAGGGTGCGCTGGGGATTCAGACAGTGGGAGGGGAGCCCTGCCTTACCTCATCTGTAGGGAGGAAAGTGCCTGCCCAGCTGGCCAAGCGGCTGGCCCTCAGCCCCACCGTGCCTGGAGGTGCAAACCCAGGGAACGGGGAAGCAACAGAGTGAGATCTAGAAAGACAGGAAACCAGACCCCGTTCCCCTCTGCTAGCCTCCTGCCACCCGCCCTGAAACCCTCTCAGCTCTGTTCCCGCACACGGGCCCCATCATGCACATTCCCCTCCTCCAGGAAGGCCTCAGATGAGACCTGCCTCTGCCTCCCCAGCTCTCCCATTCGCCAAGGGCAAGGCCGAGCAGGTGGGAGGCCTGGACTCCCACCCTATGGTTAGTGCCTGCTGAATGACCTGGGGCGACCTGTGCAACCTCTTCAACACTCCTGAGATGGGGGGATGGCCCAGGTGAGGGGAGGCGGAGGGGTGGGCTGTACGCGGACCTTGGCTGCGGTTGTGACCAACCCTGTTGATCCAGCTGCAGGGCGGGGCTGACTGCCCTCCCAACCTCCCGCCACCCAGACTCGCTGTTCCTACACTCTGCTGCCCCCATGTGGCCACTCCCAGCGCTGCAGGCCACACGGAGGCTGCTCAACTCCCCACCAGGTGTTCTCCACCCAGTCCCCAACCTCCAGCCTCACCCTCTCCAGCACTTTCTCTGAGACCTAAGGGGCAAATCTGACCAATGCTACCTTGCCTGAGCCCCCGTTCAGGACCCTCTCCACAAAGGTTGATAGGCCCTGGTCATCCTCCAGCAGCCTCGGGGGCTGTGCCTCCATGCCGGGCCCCAGGAAGTGCAGAGGAGGAGCTGCTCAGGTGGGCCACAGTGGCTGAGGCCTGGGCTCTGTGCCCAGATTCTGGACTTTCCTGGGCTAAGGAGCCTGAGCGCTGGTCTAATGAGGACTTGGAGCTGACCCTGCCAGTGACTGCGCCCAGCCAAGGAGCCGAGCCACTGTGGACACTCCCCTCCTATTCCTTCAAGCATGAGGAGCACCTGCGGCCACCACTGGCCCTTAAACAGAGGAGATAAACACAGTTTTAACAAAAGAGTCCCTGGGTGGAAATAAGAGAAACACACATAGATAACAGGTTCTCATTCAGAGAGCGGGGGAGTGAGCTGCATTTGAGAAGAGGAACTCAGCACTTGATCTACCTCTCAGCCTCTGGTGGAAAATGTCCATGCAGGGAGGACACCACCGCCTCAGAGCCCTTCACTGAATGTGCCAATGCAGACCCTCTTCAAGCTGGGGCAGCAAAGGAAGATGAAGGAAGAGAGGGCCCAGAATGTCAGAAAGCACAAAGACTTCAGTGATTTTTCACTTCCAGAAGATCCAGGGCGCTGAGATGACCTGAACAAGTAAATTTGTACCTCCGTGGACAAAACCTGGTGTTACCCCTGGGGACGCCTCCACTGCTCCTGTTCTCTGTCCACTGCTTCGCCACAGTGGTCTTTCATGGTTTCACTTTGACATCCTCACGCCTGTCTCACTGCTGCTTTGTCCTGGTCTTTTGCTAGTATTTCCGGAGTGGACTAAAGCATGTTCCTTTGCACCACACTCATCTCTCAGGGTCCAGGGCCCAGGCTGTGCTGAGCCACCCATCCATGGTATTGGGTCTCAGGAGAGACTCTCCTGTGGCAGGAGAGGCAGCAACATATGTGGCCTAAGAGCAAAATCATCCAGGATGGAGCCCAGATATATGAGACAGTTTCCCATCTACAATATCCAACTATCAGTTGCCTCCTTCCCTGGCCCCTGTGGAGGGAGCTGTTCAGGTCTTCGCTTCCAGAGCCCTCTGCATTCCCTGCTCCCTGCAGCCTCCTCACATTGGATGGTCATCAGATTTCCCCCGTGGGCTTCTCTTGGAAATCCAGAAAAACCTCATGAGTAAAGGATTCTTATTCCTATCAGTAACACGGGGCAGAGCCAGAGTCTTGACTCACAGATTCTGTGGCCTGACAGTGGCCTGGCTCTCAGGTGACTCCACTCACAGTTTCCGCTGAGAGAGTGCAGGGTGGCCAGCGAGCAGCAGAGGGCACTGTGGGTCTGTCTCAGGGTCTGCACAGGAGAACCCGCAGCTGTGCCGCCCCCCTATCTCCCCAGGGCTAGGGCAGCAAAGCCTGTGTTTGCTGCTGAGGAGTCAGCAGCTGTGTCCTTCCAAGCTGGGCAGAGTCTCGTGCTCACAGATCTGTGGAAGGTCCCAGAAGCTGCTTCCTCTTTGGTCCCTCCAGTGGGGCAAACTCTGAGTCTCACCCCTCAGACCTTCTGTCTAAAGAACCAAGCTCAGACCTCAGCTGGTTCTCAGGGTGAGGCAGAGATCACCAGTGAATCAAACAAATTTACATGAACAGCCCCTCCCCACCAGGCAAGTGGAGAAGATAAAAAAGGCCTGTGCAGCCCAGCACAGCACTCAGGTTTCAGGAGGGCTGTGTCCACCGGGGCTTGGATCCCCTCCTCCTCATGTTCCTCTCTCACTGCACAGGTAGGAACAGTCTTTTGATGTCCAGAGTCAGGTCCTGAGCCTGTGTCATCCTCCTCTGGCTCATACCCCCAAACAGCTTAACCCTGGTCACTGCCCCAGCACCTAGGACTATCTGTCTGCAGGTTCCCTCTCCCGGCCCATGCTGACTCAGCCGCCCTCCCTCTCTGCATCCCTCCCTCTCTGCATCCCTGGGAGCATCTGCCAGACTCACCTGCACCCTGAGCAGTGGCTTCTGTGCTTCCGTGTTGATGACTTCTCAATACTCTGGTCCTAGCAAAAGCCAGGGATCCCTCCCCAGTTTCTCCTGAGAATACTATTCAGACTCAAATAAACACCAGGGCTCTGGAGTCCCCAGCTGCTTCTCTGGATGTAAAGATGCCTCGGCCAATGCAGGGATTCTGCACACCTCTGGGCTGCAGCCTGAGGATGAGGCTATTACTGTAATGTATGGCATAACAACTCTAACACTTACTCAGTGCCCAAGACCTACAGAGAAGTGAGCAAAACCGCCCTTCTGTTCTCTGGGATTGCACAGTCATCTTGGCTGGTGTTTTTTCCCAAGTCTAGCTCAGGGGTGTCTTCTGTTGTCAGTTCTTCAAACAACACCTGATTTTCCTCAAACAACTAGATCTGACGGGGCCATATGCTTATATTTAGTTTAACTTTTAGCTCTATCCATTGTTCATATTGCCTCACCCTAATTATGTTTTCTTCAAGGAGAAATTTGTGGTTTAAGATAAAAATATCTCATTGGAGACTTTGGTGGAGGTTGAAAGATGTTGATTTGGGTCAAGCCAAGCTTAGTTTGAAAAGTGTAAAAAAAAATCAAAGTAAAACTTAAGTCCTAAAAGAATTCTGTTCTGGGTCCACGGGGCCTGCTTGTATCTGAGGAAGGGGAGATGAAGGATGCTGGTGGAAAGTTAGAGGAACCAGAGAGGGTGAGCCAAGGAGCAAGCACAGCTGGAGTCGGGAAAGAGGCACAGACCCGTGCAAGACACACAGCTCTGGGGCTGATGGGCAGAGTGTGGGTGCAGCCGGCCTGGGGCTGAGCGTTGCTGCGCTAAAACTGTGCTGTCACCTACAACATGGACCTGGGGTGACATGGATCTGATGGGGTCTTACCCAAGCAAAGTCTCTGTCATCTCCACCTGGGTGATGTGTCTCTTATTGTCATCTCAGAGGTAACAGCTCAGTCTTTATCTTATTTCTATCAAGGTTGTCAACTGATTGGGTAAAGGACGTGACTCACATTGTAAATGATGAGCTTGGCCAGGTGCGGTGGCTCACACCTGTAATCCCAGCAATTTGGGAGGTTGAGGTGGGTGGATCACTTGAGCTCAGGAATTGGAGACCAGCTTGGGCAACATGACAAAACCCAGTCTCTACAAAAAATAAAATAAAATAATTAGCCACATGTCAGGCTGTACACCTGTGGTCCCAGCTACTCAGGAGGTGGAGGCGGGTGGATTGTTTGAGCCTAGGAGGTTGAGGCTGCAGTGAGCCATGATTGCACTCCCACACTCCAGCCTGAGTAACAGAGCAAGACCCTGTCTCAAAACAAAAACAAAAAACAAGAAAAACAAAAACGCAAAAAACAGATGAAGGCTAATCAAAGTCTCCTGTTTTAAATGTGAATCCCATCTTTAAAAATACCTTCACGGACACATCTAGAATTCTGTTTGAGTGTATGACTGGGTTCTGTGGCCTACCTAATTTGATACACAAAATGAACTGTCATATGGAAAGATTTGAGGCAGTTCTGCCTCCTCTTTGGGTCCTCAGGAGGAGGGTCATGGGTGTCCCCATCCTGCCTGGGTCCCCTCTTCCTCACTGTCCTCGCACATGTCCCAAGGACAGGCCACTGAGGCCCTTGCAGGCCTCCCTCCCAGCTCTGCCCACCCCAGGGTGGACCCTGCCCTGTGCTCACGCGTCTCTGCATCTCCCTGTGCTGGTCCAGCCTCCTGCAGGGGCTCAGCTCCCAGGACAGAAACCACCATCTGCTGCCCTTGGAGACACAGCACTGGACACAACGGTGTGATTTTGTCACATCAGCGCCGGGGGTGTCTCATTAGAAACCCAGATCCATTAAAACCACCACACGCCTCAGACCCAGGCTCTCTCTTTTGTTCCACATCACCCTTCCTCAGCAGCTGCTGGCTCCCACTTGGGAAGAAGCTGAACATCACCATCCAGCACAGCACACAGGCCGTCCTCCTCCGGGGCCCAGGCCTGGAGAATGAAGTTCCACCTCCTTGAGCACCCACAGCCACTCTCCTCCCCAAGCAGTGCTGACTGTAGAGACTTTGCGTTTTTCCCAGAGTTTCTTCATCTGACCAAGTGAGTTGGAAGCTGGGCTCCGTACAGTCTTCCCCCACACACACAGTGCAGGGGCAGCCAGGGCTTTGTCCTCAGTTATATTTAGAATTTGGGGTTCCTACAATCAGTGACTCTCTCCTTTTTGCAATTTCTCCCTCATTTACCAACCTCTCTGCCAGCCACAAACTTTTACCTCAAGTGAGTTAAACTCCAGACAAAATGAACAGGGCCCCAGCCCTCTCCTTTCTCTGTCATTAATACTTTTTAGGTTCCTGTTTCCAGGCTGGGCAGTTAGAAGTAGGCTCGGCGGTCCCACCAGCTGCCCCGGGGTCTCGGGACAGGGGCTGGGGGGTCTCACATGTTGCCCTTCCTGTGTCGCAGCAGCACACTCTGCCCCCATCCCAGTAGTGTCCTGTGGCTGGCTGGCCCCACCTCCCAACGGACAAAAGGAGGG